TGGAACCAGCTACTAGTCTGTGGTTGTAGCATTTTGCCATCAGTACAATTATGCTATTTGCAAAAAAGGCTAACAGATTATGATTATAATTCAATCTCCTCCAAACTTATGAATATTCTGTTTATTATTTTTAAAACAAATACACTATGTACTGGGGAAATAATTCTGGAGGTCATTCTTCTTGGGTTTCATAATTCTTAGAGGCTGGTACCAATTCTTGATTATTTAGTCACCGTTTTATTCCATGTTTGTCTATGCAAATACTTATATGTAATCACATGCTCTATGTGTGGAGGATCAATCATGCTTTATTTTCTCTACTCTACACAGGGTCATTTGTGTATCATTGGAGTTTGAGTGTCTCGGTCTCAGATAACACTGTCATTGAAACCTATGCTCCCTGAGCTCATGTTGTTTGCCACTCTCCAACAGGGTCTGGAGACGCAGTGGTAGGTAGCATACAGTTAGGATGGGAAGGACTGAAAACACAGTGTGTGCTAAATTTAAAAAGTGAGCTGAAATAAAAGTAATTCAGTGTAGGTTTTGTTCACTCGGCCTCAGATTATCTGGGTGGATCTTCTTGTAACACTTAAACATATGATGTGAGGATTGCTGCTCAGATCATAAAGATTTGCCTGGCCCTTCCTGAATTACTAAAAACGCCATCTTGACTACATTTTCCCAAGGGTCCTGTCACTTCCACATCATTCACCACTTGCAGAAGCAGCTAGAGTTTTTTCCTTGGTCTTTGTCAAGGTTAAAGCACAAGCAGAGAAAGCATTTATCAATTCTGCTGCTAGCATCTGGTAATTCATAGGATGTAAAAAAAAAAAATTATGTGTATGGCTTAATCCTCTCTTTTAGGATGGATCGGAATAATATCCTTTGTTAGCTTTAGAAAGCCTTGCCTGTCAGTTGACATGGTTTATGCGTGGGAAAAGAGGGCAGAGTTTCTACCGCAACAGATTCCTTCTGACGAAGGTTAGGTCACATTTTTACATAGTTTCTGTAGATACTAAATATGGAGATCATATTGAAGCAAAACTTAAATAAGGAAAGGGAAGTAAAATAAAACCAGGCTGCTTGCCTACTGTTGCTAGCAACTTGTAATAATTGCATTTTATTGCTCATTCTTAGACAATAATTATTTGATACTTATATTAATTATATAACTAATGTTTAGTAATTGAGGCTACAGTGACTTTTAGAACTGTTTATTTGGAAGATTTAGTACCAAATAGTACTATAGTCTAGGTGAATGCTTTTACTTTGAAAGTGACAGTCTAATAGTAGGCATTCTTTGTTTTCCTAGCTTTGGATTCAGAAGAATATTTTTGCACAGCTGTTTTAAGCACAATAAATATAGGCAAATGAAAGCATGCATGGAATGATATCACATTGTTTTATCTTAATGTTAACAATAGTTAAAGCTGTTCAGTTTTAATGAAACTGATCACTCTCTTTAAGTTTAAGCATGTATGGAGATGTCTTCTGCTGGGCTAAGGCAATTTTTGCTAACTCTTCAAAAGTGTCTTCCATATGCTAGGGGACAGAGTTTCAAAGTATTGTCAGTTATGTAGGGAGGAACCTATGGCAAAACTGAAAACAGTTCCTATGATCAATGCCAATCACACAGTACAGACATATCTGACTTATAAGTCCCTGCCCATAAATAATTATATTTAGTGCTTATTTGAGAAGTCATTTCAGTAGAAAACTCCATGTGGCAATATTGAAATGCATGCTCGGGTACAATAAAAATTAGTAATGAAATGCAAAATTATTTAGTATTTAAGCTGGGTGGAAGAATTAATGGTTTCCTGGTGACAGGGAAGTGTGTCTATATAGTTATGAGATGCTTTAAGACATCTTGCTGTCTGCTTCTGCACATGCCAATGAATGATGCTACCTCAGCCCACAGTGTGCCTTCTTTCAACTCAGCAATGTTGAGCATATGAATTGTCACCTCTGTGTTGCATTTGTTTTTCCTTGTATGTACTACAATGACTACATGAGAGAACAGAAATACAGAATCAGAAGAAAGGTTGATACTGTTTTTTACCATACCCACACTACAGGAAGGATCATGACTACATTATGTAAATAAAAGCCTTCTCTTCATTTCTTACAAATATCCACAATGTTCACTTGAGTGACTGACTCCTAGATGCTCAATCTGAAGTTTCTTCCTTGCTTCTTATAGTTCTATTGTATATCATGTTTTGTCAACAAAACTGTTATGGTTCAAAATTTCCTCATTCTTTGTGCATAATGTTTCTCGTAACCTCTTTTATTGAGATGAGCTCTAATCTACTAAGTTCATTTATCTCATAGCATTTCAGTTTCTTAACCCATACTCACTAACTATATGATACATTGGTAGAAAGTCCTAAGGATGTTGGGAGAGAAGAAAGATGCTCTATTTTGCATCACTCTGCAATGCTCTCTGCTTTCAGTTAAGTTCATCTTCTGGTTTCCAGCCTTTCATAGATGAAGGTGACAATGACACCACAGCCTTCCACTCAAACCCCTCCATGCCCCTAAATAAAATACTCTAGGACATTTATCAAGCATTAAATCTTACATCAATCTTGAAACTCTTTAGCAGATGGCAAAGCCCACAAGGTCTTACTTTGAAATTGTGAACACTCTCCTTGCTTACAAGAGACACTATCAAGGAGTGAACCCAAACACATTTTATAAAGAAAAGGAAAGGAAAAGCCATCAGACAGTCTAATTTCTAGGGAAAAATTTGATGAGGAACAGATAGTGGTGGGCAGTAGCACTATAGGACAAACGTTCCAGGCCAGCCATGCATCAGTGACTTGGACAGCAACTGACATTCATGCCTATGATTTCCAGTTCTCGGGTCTCTGAATCCCACAGTTAAGCTTTTCAGTGTGAATGGCTTTCCAAGGCCTGGATTCCTTTGAAAGGATATTTGATAGGGTAGTGGTGTTTATTACAAAAACACATTTATGTAGACTATTCTAGCCCAAGCAATAAATAGAGATTTTTCTCTTCTCCTCCCCAACGTATGGGTTTATTAGTCAGGGTGAAGCAAGTCCAAGCGTAATAATGGATGAAAGAGTCTGTCAAAGTTCAGTCACATGAGGCAGAAGTAACTCTGAGCAGTGGTAGTTTCTCAACAACCAAGAAGTTAATTCCCCTCTTGGCACCCTGTTCACATTATCCTGAATGCAGAGGCTGTTCTCCTAAGAACACATTTGGAGACTGCCCCTCCTGGTTGTTCAAGGACTGTATTTCATTTACTACAAAAATGTATCTGTCAAAATGCAAATGGAGAATATGAAGTCTATTTGAACTCTAACAACAGGCATGAAACTGGGACATGCAAGTCTTTGTATAAAGCTACCAATAATGTTAGTTATGGTACCAGAGGGATGATGTAAGACACATCAGTGGTTACCACTTTAAAATAGTTCTGAGTTCTGAGACTTATAATGATTTTTAGGTGTAGATCTCAGAGTTACATATATGTAACATGTATGTGCTTGAGGAGGTTGAATTATGATGCCCAAGTGACATATTCAGAACTGACTTATGGCAGGAGCAGATTCATGTCATGTTGTGCTTGGTTCTAGGCTGATCGCGTATTGAGATGATGTCACTGTAGGTGAAGTGGGTTTAAGGTTGTGGTTTTAATAGTGTTATCAAGGCCAGGGGATAGCCACAAGAGCCTTCTCAAGGAAAGCTTACTCTAAACTTTTCATATTTTTCTGTGCTCTGGTAATGTGTGATGGAAATGCCAGCTTAAGAATTCATTTTACTGCATTTAAAACTTGAGAGCAACTTCGTGGCTTAAAAATTGTACACTCATCCACCATTTACTGTATTTTCCAGTAAGTTCCTTATGCTTTACATTAGAGGAAGTGCAGTTTCTCTACCTACTAACATGGGAAAGATTTTTCCATCGTGACACACAAAAAAAAGTCACAATGGTTGATGGTAAGGATGGCTACTCTTCTCTTAAGAAATGGAATTACAATCCTGAGAAACCTTCATAGTCTTATTTGGGGCTAACTCCTTTCCTGAGAAAACCTGCAGTACTCATGATCCACATTACTGGTTTTTAGGCTAATGTTCCCTGTACTTTAGCCACTCACTGTAACAACTTCTGGAAGATTTATGTATATGTTTACAGCATTTTAATTGTTCATGTTTTTCTTTAAATCAACAATTATTTAAGGACAATGGCATTTTACCATGCATAGTTCATAGAATTCATCTAGAGACGAAATCAGTACAACTTGCTATAATGGAAGCAAAACAGAAAATATAAAAAAGAATAATTCTGGTTGTAGAAGTAGCCATTTTGAATACTAGAGACTCAGAAAAACCTCTGCTCTTTCTTTGGTTAAAAAAAAGTGATTATTAAGTATTAATGTCATGTTACTTTAGTAGCAAATTGGAGTTTCTCAAACTCTTAAAACACTCAAAATGCTGGAAAAAATTTGGACTGGCACAAAAAACATTGTGTTTCATATATAATAATATAATCCTATTTAATGGTGTTTTCTATAGCAGCTAAAATCTTTTTTCAATACCCTGGTAAGGCTAAACTGAATGTATAACTAGGTTTAAATACATTGCCCCGCTTTGTACTGATTCTATGTGAAAATTCAGTAAGATTGAATGAGTAGTTCTGAAGCATTGACTAGAAGTGAATTTCTATACAACACCTAGGGCAACCTAGACTTTATTTTAAACTAGAGAACGTAGTACTTCAGGTAGCATGAGAATTGACTCAGAATGAAGCCTACGGCATTCCCACCACAGATGAAGGAGGAGTCAAGTGTTTAAGTATGCCAGCAATGCCCTGTACAAGAACAAGGTAAACCCCCATGCAGAGATAAATGATCTCTAGGGACTTGCTCTTCAGTTTCTTGACCAGGAGATCAAACCCTTTTCTCAGGGATAAGAAACCCCAAACTTCACACCAACAAAAGCCAGCTCAGGGAAAGACCACCGGGGCTTACCTCCTGTGAGCATGAGGGCACATTTGCACATGCAGTTGTCATTGTCAGCATCCTTCGTGCTGAAATCAGCACCGTGAAGAATCAGGCTGCTCTGTTTGCCTGCTGTCCCCGTGTGACCCTTTAAATATAACCTGCAATTAAACAAAGAAACATCAGCCATTTGACAGACCAACATAACCTAGATGACAATCTGTTGAATTCTTTTGCATCTTTTCTTTGAACTCAGTCCTTTTAACAAATCACTTCCTGAACCAAAAAGTCAAAACATAAAAGAAGGAAAGAGAGGGGGAGTTAAAGAGAGAGAGGAGGGCGAGAGGAATAGATATTGTAAGTGTGTGTTTGTGGAAGTGCTAGCACAGGCTCCAAATCATGAGTGGGTAAAATTATCTGTGGCTCGAGCTTGGTGTTTATTTTGCTATGCGTGTAGGAACCTGTGTGTTTCTCTGATAATTCAGGACCCACCAAAAGAAGGGTAATTTATTCTTATAGTTATTTGTTTCCAAATAGAAATCCCCCTTAGAATGTCAATGCAGCAGACTATTTCATTAGTATCTAGTGTAGAAATTATGCCAAGCATTTTTAATATAAATGCAACCTCAGTGATAGGGGCATGTTGGGTACAGCTCATAGAAAAGATGAAGGCAACCCCATCCTGCAGGTAGCAGCCTTAAAACAAATGTTTGCTGAATATACACTGTAGGTCTGTCTCTCTTTCTAGACTCTTTGGATCTTTTGACTAAGGTTATTTGCACTATTTCTGTATATCAGAGATTTCTTTCTAGTAGGTTAACAAAATCTATGTCCAAAGCCCCAGCAGTAGCTTAATCTTAAAACTGACATTACTTAAAGAACTCAACTTACCCTCTAGAAACATTTCTTTTTTATATATAATTTTTTATTTAATTTTATATAACAAAGTCCAATTAAATGAAAACAAAAATTTATACACAATATTTGGGAATTTGGGCGTCGTTCTTTCCAAACTACTTCCTGCTGGTAAGGGGCGCTGTCTTGGGGGATTCGAAGAAGATTCAGATATCCTAGCTGTAGTCTGTAGGGCTGTTTTGTCCAGCTGTTTTGAATGTAGGATCAGCTTGTACTCTGTAGAAACATTTCTTACATGTATTTGTCAATAACTTAGACAAATGGCTTTCTGATGGTGTATCCCAGCAAATCATTAGGCCGTGTGAGTAATGACCTGATCAATAGGCCCTAAAATTGAGTTTTCAAGATCATCTATGACTATGACAGATTTTCAGACTATCTATGGATGACACACGGGAGCCATGGGAAATCACAGAGTGTATCTGGTACAGCTTCCTATCTGGTGCCTTTTTTGTCTTCTTACCCCGTTCATTTCCTGGACAATGCAAGCTTGCCCAGGTCCTTCAGTTACATCCCAGGGCTCTTGAGTATTCTACAGTGATTGGCATCAGCAGTTTAGTACTTGTTTTCTTCCTTCTTCTCTAGCAACAGAGATTCTCACCAGTATCATTTAGCCACATTTCCAAAGTGTCCATGTCTCTAGTTCTCCTAGTAGTACCCACATGTGGTCAGATGGTTGTAAGAGTCTCCTAGAATTTGGACCAGCTCTGGCAAGATATTAAATGGCTGTAATAAAGGCCAAAGAAAATTTGGATATATAGATAAATACATGTGACATGTGTTTGCACTTAGATGTATATATGATGTAATATTTTATCATTATTTGGTAGTTTTTGCTAATGTTTGTTTTAGAGAATAATAGTACTGTTTCATATTTGGAGGGGTATTTTGTTCTTTTGTTTGTTTTGTAAATTTTAAGCTATAGTAAAATGCACAATTAAATTTCATCTGTCTGGCTGCTGTCAGTGGCTTACAGAATTTCTTCTCTGGAGAAGCTTACAGAATTACTAACCCCGCCCTTATAATACTAAGTGGTTACATATAAGCTTCTGTTTTAAAGCTCTGAGAGGCAGGATAAATGTCCCACATGCTAATGCAGGAGAGAAAGAAACCCAACCCCTGTCCTTGATATTATGAATGCTCGGTCTTTTTCCTTGCTTCTCTTTCCCAATATGTTATTGTCTGTTTAAGTGCATTTGTAATGTCTAAGTACATCCCTATAAGAATTTCAAAAAGTGATTAGTCATAGTCATATTTCCTTTCTCTTCCTCTTCTCCGGCTGTCCTTTAAAGATTTGTTTGTTTTTATCCTATGTGCATGAGTGTTTTCCTTGCCTGCTTGCCTGTGGCACCACATTTGTGTCTGGGACCTAAGGAGGCCAGAAGGGGGCATCAGATCCCCTGTAAATGGAGTTACTAACAGTTGTGAATCACCATTTGGGTGCTGGGAATCAAAGCCAGGTCTTCTGCAAGAGCAGTGAATGCTTTTCATTATTGAGCTATCTCTCCATCTCTCTTTCTTTAGAACAAACCATCGTTGTCCATTGTCCAACTTTCAAAGTCATTTCTCCTCTAGTATGAGTGAAAATTGAAATGATTTTACACTTTACACATTTTTCACAACATGAATTTCATTGCCATTTTTCCAGGCATCACATAGTCTTCTTAAGCATCACCTGGAAGCTGTAGTCTGAATGTATCGTTGTTGTATTACATTTTATAGGGCCTTTATGCCTCTCAACATGCATTCTGGAATAAATATATGCTGAAGTGAGAATGGTGTCTGTAACATCTATCTCTGTCCCTTCCTCTGTGGGAGTAACTTTGCCTTTTATCAGGCTCGCTTCCTTTTAATCTTCCAAGTTCTCTTTTGTCTTGGCTTTTCAGTTTTCCAAAATACAAAACCATGTTCAACATATTATATGTGCAGATAAAGGAAGAGGGGCTATATTTTATTTTCCGTTAGTTCTTCTGTTTTAGTGAATAGTTTGTTTGTATTATATGCATAGCCAACAGAGATTAGGAAAGTAACTGGAAATAAAATCATACTTAAGGTAATTTCTTCAGCTAACATTATTATTTTAAAGGAGAAGAGATTAATAAGGTAAACATTTTCTTAAGGTCCTAGTGAAATGACAAATTATTAAAACAAGGAACAAAGGCAGATGAACCATAAAAGTACAATATGAATACCAGTGGCTAGAGTGATTTAAAAGCAGATGAAGCCTGGGAATAAGGCTCAGTAGGTAGAGTAGTTCCATGAAAATGTGAAAATGGCAGTGTTGCCCATCATCTGAGAACTGCTTCAATGAGTGAGAGACAGAGAATCAACAGATGCTCTCAGGTAGGTATGCTGCCTATTGTTGATAGAAATGATTGAAAAGACAGTGTCTCAAACATGGCTGAAGGTGGGGACTGACATCCAAGTTTCCTTCTGATCTCTGTGCATTCATGACTGTACTCATAAACACATCATGCATATACTCATGCAAGATATTTTAAGAGGTAGAAAAGACCAGTATCTTGAGTATAATGAATTTGTCCCTGAACAAGGCGAGACACATTTAGTAGTGTGCCTGATGTGGTTCTCATCTCCTACATGGCTATGTCCTTGGTATGTCAGAGGGGCATCTCAGGATGTGAGAAGAGACACTTGCTTTGATGCCCAGTCTCTTATATTGGGAGTCAGAGGCAAAATTTCATAAAATTAAAATTTTCCAACATTTTGTACAAGAAATTTACAAACAAGGGCAGTTGTGTGTCTGTGGGATCCAACAGAAATCCTAGAGAAACCCAGGTTAAGAAACAGCCTTCTTCCAGAAACTCATTATATCTTCACTGTTAGGTAGGCAATAGAGTCACAGTTGTTGACCTAAAGTCAATATACACAGGAGACTAATTGCTACAGCTAAACAAAGACTGGCCACTATAATTCCAATTGTTTTTATAATTTATATAAGGAACTTCTTTGAATTGTAGGTATGACCAACGTGTGTGTCGTGTTGAAGCTGCAGAGCTTTCACCATCTATGTTAGCATGTTTACTGGTTCAGGAAATGTTAGGCAGTGATGTTAGTGAAACTTCATGGGTATAGATACTCTGACATTTCTAGGAGATACAAGCTAAAGCCTGTTCCTATGGCTCTTACAATTTTCCTGGCCCCTCTTTCTTAATGACTCTTGAGCATTAGGCACCAGAGTTGTGTTTTAGATGTATCATTTGGCACTGGGATACACAACTCTGTATTTTAATTGGCTATAATTTTCTGTGATGGTCTTTATTGCAAAGAGAAAGTTCCTTAGTGAGTACTGAGAACTATACTTCTTTGTGGGTATATGGACCAATGCCAGCTACATTTCTGATAAAGGATTAGTATCTAAAATATACACAAATTTTTCTAAAAAGAGGCAAATCACAAATGCCCTTTTCAAAAATGGATCTCTGATTTGAACAGAGAGTTCTCAATAGAAAATGTGACTTAAAAATTAAGGAAATGCAATTCAAAACAACAAAACAACTTTGAGATTTATTTTACCCTAGTGGCAAAGATAAACAAAAGAGCTTAAAATATATACTAGAAGTGGGGTAAGAAAGAACCCCCCCATTCACTGTTGATGGGAATCCAAATTGGAGGAGTCACTCTGAAAATCAGTATGGAGAATACTCATAAAATTAAAAAATCTACCTATGTCTAATGCTACACCATTGCTGGGTATATGCCCAAAGGACTCTACATCCTAAATAAATAATGGCTTAGCCATGTTCATTGTTGTTCTAGTCATAATGGACCAGAAATAAAAGCAATATACACGTCTTTCAACTCACTGATAGGTAATAAAAAATATCACATACATATCTGAGTTATAAAACGCTATCCAGTGGTTAAAAAGAAAAGCTAAAATGAGGAGATTTGTAGATAAATGGGCAGAACTATATTGAATGAAGTAACCGGACCCAGAAAAACGAATGGCATATTCTCTCATCTGAGCTTCCTCACTCCAGATCTCCAGTTGAGATTAAATAACCTGGGACCCAATTAGGGATAAAGGATGGAAAAGCAATAGAAGACAATAAATAGCACACATGTGCTCTTAAGAGGAAAGTAGTAAAACAAACAAAACAGAGGGGCTCTAATTAGGGAGAGAGGAGGGCAAAATAATAGTAAGATGTCTGAATAAAGTCATAAGGAAGCATATTATCAATTATCTCCCTAAAGTACCATAAAACATGTAAGTGTGGTGTATAGA